CCCCCCCCCCCGGGGGGTGATTTCTCGCTTTCTGTCTCTCTGTCTCTCTGTCGAATGCATGCGCCCTATAACAAAAATCTCTCAAAAAATATTTAAGTAGAATTTTAAATACAATTAGACTTAACCATCTGGGATATTGATATGATAGAGGCAAGGTAGGCTTGAAGTAAAAGCAGAATCAAAACCAAAAGCACAAAGGGGAAAAAGGTAGTTTAACACCAATAGATGTCGATATGCTGAAACAGAAATTACACAGCTAGTTCTTTTCTAAATTTGAATCACAAAAGTATTTCAGTTTGCACATCCTTAGGAAACATCAATTAACTTTTGGGTTATCACCAGAGAAGGGCTTGAAGAGCCAAACAAAGTATTCTAGGATTCTAAATCATTCCCAGACTATAGCCACATGGAAATATAGGGAAGTGAACACATAGGCCTCACTAGTTATAAAACAGGACAGTTCTGTGGGGTCACCTATGGGAAGACAGCTGACTACAAGGGATGAACTGTGTGGAAACCTGGTAAAATGAAGATAGAACAACAAAAAGAATGATTTGAGATTTGTATGTAAATCTGTGTTAATATATGATATAAGGATACTTGAACTTTGTGAAAGTTTCTCGGGTCTACAGGTTTGGGGTTCACAGATATGTTTCCCCACTGACACTGTAGCTAGTCAGTAGAAATAAATGAGTTTTCTGTGCACTGAATGGTGGCATAGCAGTAAAACTATGCCCCGAAAGGCGGACTCACATGGAAAAGCTCCAGGTTCATTTTCAGAGGCTGAAGATGAGGTGGACCACAGCATGAAGATGATTTTGGATGTGCTTGTCTCTCTCTCTAATTAAATAAATAATTTTTTTTTTAATTTTTGGAAAAGTGTGTTTCCCGTGCCTTTTCTCATTGTCTCCTCTTCCTCTTCATAGCTCTCCAAGATCCAGTTCTTAACATGAGTGGGGGTAGCTCCATTCCTTAACAACCCTGTGCAGGACCTGGTATTGCAATCAACATGGCACCCGTTGCTCCAGCCAAAGCTCTCTCTACTTCCTGTTTGCCAAGAAAGGGTATGATCTGGAGTAGGAAAGAGAAAGCACATTGTCAACAAGAAGCAAATGTAACTTTATTTCATGGGCTCAAGCCAACAATTCTGTTATATAGGTACATTCGAAAATGTAGTTTTGAAACAGAGTGATAAAATCTGAAAAGAACGATTACTTTTTCAAATTAGCAGTCTAACCGTATCTTTTTACAGATGAGAAAACTGAGACACAGAGACTGCCCCAATAACACACAACCAGTTAATGATAAAGCTAGAATTAGAATTTAAGCGAATACTTTTCTTAGGTGATTTGGAAAATATCCAGAAAAAATGAACTGCTAGGAGTTATAATGCATGAACTGTGACACAGTTGGAGGAACTAGAGATTCTTTTTTATGGAGAAACATTTTTTGCTATAGGGCACGCCTGCTTACCAGAGAAACAGAGAGAGACAGAGAAACAAAACATGAGAAATCACCTCCCAGGGGGAATAGCCATGCCACAATCCCTTCTCCTCCATTCTCCTCTCGGGATCTTGGGCACGCACGCACACACGCCCGGCGTGAGTTTTAAGCCACTGGGTCCGGGACACGAACCGCGGTCGACTACGTGGGAGTCCAGCGACATAGCCATTACGCTAACTGCTGGTTCCCTGTCTTATCTCTTTTTTGAATTAAAAATAAAATTCTACCATAAGAGGGGACCAGTAGATGGCATAATGGCTATGTCACTGGACTCCCACGTAGTTGACCGCGCGGTTCGCGTCCTGGACCCGGTGGCTTAAACTCACGCCGGGCGCATGTGCATGCGTGCACAAGATCCCGAGAGGAGAATAGAGAAGGGATTGTGGCGTGGCCATCCCCCATGGGGGGTGATTTCTCGCTTTCTGTCTGTCTCTCTCTGCCTTTCTGGCGAGCACACACACCCTATAGTAAAAAACTCTAAAAAAAAAAAAAACCCAAAAAACAAAACAAACAAACAAACAAAAAACGCTGTCATGAGAGAGGCAGATACAGCTAGACAGGCACCACCAGGTCCTTGCGCTGTGATCCAGTCTCAGCTGGCCTGGAGCCCAGGCCAGCATGTCCGAGGCATGCCCAGGGTGGCCTGGGACGCCTCTCCACTGTGTCACCGGGTAGCCCAGACGGGAGTTCTGCAAACACGGAACCCACAGCAGGCAGCTGCCAGTCCCAGGGCCAGGGCTACAGCCAGGTTGCTGTTGCTGCCTCTGCTGGGCCAGTGGCCAGTGGGCGGACTCCTGGCATCTCCAGGGACCATCCCCCTCTGCAGGGCCCTTTCCCTCGCACGTGACCAGAGAGGTTCAGACGCCATGCCTCCATGCCATGCTTGTCCGCCTCCTCTCAGGTCGGACAGTCCAGGATGTAAGACTGGGCCAGGGACCCACGGGTCTCCAGATGGGGACAAGGGACACGGTGGGCACAGTGGTCGACATGCCGGATACGAGCATGCGTACGTGGGTACAAAGCACATGCGAACGAGACAACATGGGAAGGAGACATGTGCGAGCCCCAGTGGGGGCCGCCTCCCAGGAGCGGCCTGTGTCTGCCACCTCCAGGGAGGCCCACGTGCTTACCGGTACTTGAGCAGCTCTGGGGAGTATTTGGACTTGGCTTTGAAGATCACCTGCAATGACAGAAGACATGGCAGGTTGAGGACAACCAGACGCCAACACACAGACCCTCACCTGGGGCCCTGTCCCTTCATGCCGGGTGCCGCAGCCTGCCTCCCGGCACTGAGATATCCATCTCCCTGAGGCCGCCTGTCACACAGGGCACCTCACGCTGCGTGCCGGCTGCTGAGGGGCTAGAGCGTCCAAGGTGTAAGGGGTGAGTACGTTGCTTCACAGGGTGCAGGGGCGGCTGGCTCGCGTCGCACATGTGGGCACGCACAGCCAGACGCTGCGGTCCCGCGCCCAGCACTGGCCGTCCTGGAGAGCCGAACTCCTGGGGCCCCAGCCCGGCCCTCCTCAGAGGGTTCCCTCGGCAGGCGCTTCCCACGAATGCCACCTGAGGGCCAGAAACTCGCAGCCGGAGGTGCCCTAACCAGGGCCGGTGGCTGCGGGTGCTCAGGCTGTGGCCAGGGGGCCCCGTCAGCTGTGAAATGAGGTGTTTCCAAGGGCAAATTCCTCCCCAGTTTTGGCGTCTACTTGAACAGTGCTTGCTGGGGCCACTGGATACCCAGGGGACATGGGCTCTTGGCCCGCACCCTGGCCCCCAGATGATGCAGAGGCCCCCCCAGACAGCTGCGGAACACTGCAACCATAAATCCGGCTGAGGCTCCTAGCTCGCCTGCCTGTTCCCTCCCAGCACCCAGGAGTGCCCTCTGTCCCCAGGGCTGCATTTTATTTTTAATGACTAAAACAAACACAGTTGGCCCAGCCTGGTGGCACGCTAAGTAGCAAACTGACAGGCAGTGCTGGCAGCATGGCCGACCACGGGTTTGGATCCCGGGTCAGCCTGAAAATGTGGGCATATGTACGTGCACACGCTCCTGAGCAGCTGGAGGCCGGGGAGGGGCGGCAGTGCCCAGGGCCCTCGGGGTGGCTCCTCCTGAGCCCTCTGTGTGCACTCATGAATGAAATAAACAGTTTAAACACGACGGCACTGGAGGCCCCGGCCCAGCCCCCTGGCTCCGTCCCTTCCAGGAGAGCGGTCAGAGCCTGACTCCGGGTTCTTGCGCCCAGGAGGCGCGTCCTCGCCCAGGGCCAAGATGTCCTGAGCCGTGTGGGGTCCCCTCGGCTATGCACCCCCCCTGCGGCCCGCGGCTGCTGTTCGTCTTCAGAGAGCGTGTGTTTGGAACGTGCCCGTGCCCTGGTTCCTGCGACTTCACTGAGGCACACACGGGCCCACCCTGTGTGTGCAGACACCTAAGGGGCTGATGGCTCAGAGCGTGGCCTCTGGAGCAGCTGCCGTGGCTCGAATCCTAGCCCCATCAGCGAGCTGCTGTGACCTCGGGACGTCGCCGGGCCCTCTGAGCCTCAGGACCTCACCTGAATGGAGGCCAGTGTGGGTGAGGCTTGGGGGAACGACAGCCGCGGCGCGCTCAGACACCTGCCCCGAGTGTGGCGCCATGCTGGCCGGCACAACCACCGCCACTCCTGGGCCTCACAGACGCGCCTCGAGCACAGAGCTGGCCTCCGGACCACAGGCACTTCCACGCTCAGCAAGGTCGCCAATGCCTACCCATGGTCCTGCTGCGCCGCCCCTTCCTGGAATTTTGGGGAAACAGCACACCCCAAGGGCCTGGGCACGGGGATGGTAGTCAGCTGCTCCCGCCTGTCCCCGTGGCCTCAGGCTCTCACCCACAGCTCCGACGGCGGCAGAAATCCGGGGCAGGGGGTTGAGGGTGATGTCCAGAGGAAGCCATGCCTCCGTGAAGCTTTCCTGTCCTCGGGGCCACCACTGGTGTGGCAGGGAGGGAGTGGCCTGCTGCGGCCATGCTGCACACATGGCCCCACGGGGAACCGCCACCTCGACTGGAGAAGGAAGGGGCAGGTAGAGATGGAGGGTGTGGCCAGGAGCCTCCCCAAGGAAGGAGAACCTTCCAGACACACGAGTCTGCTCACATCAGGATGAAGGAGGGACAGAGGTCACTAAGTGGCAGGGACAGCACGTGAAGAGCGGCTCACGCCAATCAGCTTATGGATCTGGGGGAGCCCAGATTTAAACAGGCACTGGTGAGGCCGGACAGCCTTCGCCCCGGGAGGACGAGCCCTTGTTTCCAAGGAGGAAAACCAGCTACAAGGTCAGGAGGTCTGAATTGGTTTCCTGGATTTTCCCGAGTGGAGTGAGCAACGGGAACCGGCCGCGAGCATGCTGTGACCGCCCAGAGGCGCCAGCAGGCGCCACCCTGACAGCAGTACAGCCTCCCCGTGCTGCGGGTGTAGGCATGCCAGCACTGCTGGGTGGCCCGGACAGCCCTCCTCTCCTCCTACTCAGCCCACACAGCCCCAAGTCCATCCAGGGCAGCAAGTCACACGGCTAAGACATGATCCTCAGGACCACCCTGTGCAGATGCCGCCACGCCACGTGGTCCTGGACAATACCCAGGTATTCACAGACGGCCGCCAGACACTCCTGGGACGGCTGAGCTTGCAGAAAGCTTCCCGTCTGTGCCCCGTGCCTCCTCTTCCTTCCAACTTCCTGCCTGCAATGGGAGTGGCCCGGGGCATTGCCGACAGGCACCCAGAGGACAGCCTCGCAGGGCGGGGTGCACCATGCCGACCCGCAGGCCTGAACACACACCTCTCGGGCTAAGCGCCGCCCGGGTGCTGTCTTGCAGCCCGTGGCCTGGAGTGGTCCCGCTGTGCGGGCCTCTGCAAGGCTCTCCAGGAGGCAGTGGGCCCAGGCTGCACCCCACGGCAGCTGCTGCCTGGCTGCTCTGCTGCAGGAGTGCCACCAACGTAAGCAGGCTCCTGGGCCTAAAGGAACTTGAACAGGAAGCTGCGGTTTCCCTGCGTCCCAGCTCGTTGCTAGAAGCCATCAGGGGGCTGAGAGTGTTACTGAGACTCCCAGTGTTCTCAGAGCCTATGGGACCCCACGAAAGGGCGCTGCCCACCCCAGCGATTCTGCAGTGAGGGGCTGTGCTCCAGGGTCAGGCGCAGTGTCCCAGCTCCCACCCTTGGGCCTGGAAGTGGTGGCCCTAGGACCAGTCCCGCTCACCTCCAGGCCTCAGGTGATCCCCAGGCCCCACACTCGGTGAGGGGGGCTTCATCACGCGTGCTAGCGGGGCCGACAATGACACGCCTCTCCCCTGATCTCCGTACAGCCAGCGCTCCCGAGAGTACTCGCAGCGGTCCCCAGGCTGAGGGAACCACGGACTGCCTGTTCAGCTGACTTGACACTTGAGATCCCTGTCCAGGTGTGTGCATACATGTGTACACATGTGCGCGTGTGTGAGAGCATGTGTGTGCATGTGTGTGTGCATGTGTATGTGTGCGTTCCTGTGTGTGCACACCTGGAACACCCTGCTCTCTGCCCTCAGAACACAGCGCCTTCTCACATGCCTTGTTCAGTGAAGGGTGATGGGGAGACAAGGACAGAGACCTTGGCCCGGCAGGCAAAGGTCTCCACGCTGCTGCCCTTCCCAGGCTCTGCCTGCCCTGCCCACTGCCCAGCCCTGCTGCCAGGGCCACCGAGCACCGAGAGCCCTGTCCTTGCTGTGCGGCGGCTCCATGCCACAGTGCCACGCAGGCTCGCCACCTGGGGCCTAGCACAGCAGCCCTCAGCCCCACAGAGCCCAGGAGGGTGGGACATGCCTCTGTCCAAAGGCCCCAAGTCGGCCTGAACAAGACCAGCACTGCCTGGACTTCCCCGTTTTCTGCGTCGCCTCCTGTCCCGGTGCTGGGACTCCGGGGAGACTGGCCAGGCTGCGGGAGCCAGCTGTGAGGCTACGCTGCACCTCTCTGCTGAGCCTGAAACCTACAGGCTCAGCGGGCACAGACCTGGGGCAAAGCGGGCTGTGGAGGAGGAGTCCTGGCAGAGCCCAAGCCGCGCCCAGGGTCCTGAGGGCCCCAGGACGTGGAGGGGGCGCTTCCAGCAGAGACCCCTGCAGGGGGAGGCCCCAGGTAGGCCGGAGTGAAGGCAGGGCAATAGGGACCAGAAGGAGGCCCTGGGGGAGTGGCCTCAGGGCCTCAGGACAAAGGCAGAGTCTGAAAGACCCCCCACGTGGGGCTGCCAGGGGAAGGGACATGGATGGCGGGGGCCAGGATCAAGCTGAAGCCCCCTGTAGGCAGCAGAGCTAACAGGCTGAGGGCCCCCTGATCACACGCTGTCCCTGGCCAGCCCCAGAGGGAGGGGAGAGGCTGAGCGAGCAGGACACCCTCCCACGCCAGCCGGAGCTCCAGGCCTGGCCTGCTGGGCTGGGCAGAAAGGAGGAAGTCAGGGTTTAGTAGCCGAGTGGGACCCAAACCACGGGGTCTGCACCCAGTGGGGTGGGCGGTGCCCCTACAGCCCTGGCGTGGGTGGCCGGTGGGAGTGGAGAGCCGGCTGCCCACACCCTGGCCAGGCCCTCACCCTCACAACCTCAGGGGTAGGGGGTGGTGCCCTCTGGCTGTCAGGGAGGTTACGGAGGTGAGGAGCGTGCGCCAGGCTCAGTGCAGGCTGACGACAGGCGGGTTCCCCTCTCAGCGCCCCAGAGTCCATTTCTCTCTCAGATCCCCCCGTCCACTCCCGCAGCCCCCGGCCACTCCCTCAGGCCCCCAGTCCACTCCCCTCTCAGCCCCCTGTTCACTACCAACCCCTGACCCCCGGCCACTCCCTCAGCCCCCATCCAC